ACAACACACACAACACACACACACACAACACACAACACACTCAACACACACAACACACACACACACACCACACGCACACGCCAAGCGGCGTGTGCTGTGATGTCATGTGATGCAATGTGCTGTGATATGCGGCGTTGTGCTATGTCGTGCTGTGGTGCGTCGTGATGTGCTGTGTTGTGTTGTGATGTGCTGCCACACACACGCACACACGCGGCCGTGCTGCGCCGTGCTGCGCTGCGGCATCCGGAGCCAGCGGCTCCGTGCTGGGAGCGCCGGCCCCGGTCCCCGAGCAGTCCTTTTCGTCGTCCTCTCCATCCCCTCCCCCTCCCTCTTCCTCCGCCTCCTGCCTGGCCTCGCCCTCCCCCTTCCCCCTGTTTCCTGCCCTCTTCGTGGCCCCCCTTGCCCTCCTTCCCTGTTTTCACACTCACACACGTGTGGTTCAAACGCGTTCTCTCACCCACCCGGGTTCCTACATGCTACTGTGAGCCTTGTGCGGAGTCGCGCGGTGCAGGTGCGCCCCATCACGCCGCCCGGAACCGACTGACACACACCTCGCCGAGACATCGCGCACACAGCACGAGCTGCATGCAGCGCTTGGCCTGCAGCCCCGTGGTTATCTTGCGTCGCGTGTGTTTGTGCAAAGGCTGGGTCCACCAGTGTGGAGATGGGGCCAGTCCTAGCGGTTGGGTGCTTCCAAGAGCAGCGCGCGTTTTTGGTGTTGAGTGGCTGCACTGCGGAACGTGCCCCACCCACGTACTTCCCCCTCATCCGCCGCCGCCTGCATTGTTTGCTTTGGCGCGCGGTGTGGGCTGAGAATGTGAGAAGGTACGGCGTCCCGCATTAGGCGGTGGAACGAACGAACCAACACACACGCACACACGCAGACCAACACACACACACAACACACACACACACGCACGCCAACACACAGACACACCACACCAACACACACACACACACACCCGCACACACACGCACACGCAAACACGCAAACACGCACACACGCACACACGCACACACCACACACCACGCACTGGCCACACACACAACATACAACACACACACAACACACAACACACACAGACACACCCACACCCACACACACCTTTTGTTAGTCGCGGCCTCGCGCGCAGCGCCGAGGCAGAACAAATCGAGCGCACGGCACGGTGTAGGCGCGAGCGGTCGGGCCCTCAGACGCGGGACCACATTGGGTCGCCGCGCGTGGCCCCCCAGCCCGGGGGGGGAGCCAGGGGGGTGGATGGCCGGGAGAGGGGAGGAGCTGCCCGCCCGCGGGAGCTTCCCACGCGGAAGCTGCAGCGCGAAACCAGGTGGAGGCGCCGGATCCAACACACACACAGACACACACACGGACACACCACACACACAGACACACACACACAGACACACACCACACTCACACACACAGACAGGCACACACACACAGAGATACACCACACACACACACACGTGCACATGCATATGTATCTACAAAATGCGCAGAAGCATCAGCATCTGGAACCGTGCGGGGCGTGTTGATGTCGGGACGTCGTTCGAGGGAGATGGAGAGAGATGGAGAGAGTAACGGGCAGTTGGAGAGCGGAGGATGGGCACGAGGGACAAGGGAGTTGAGGGAAGGAGGAAAGACTCCCCGCATACAGGCTGAGAGGGCTGGTACCAGCAGAAGACGAAAATGGGACCCACTTCGAGCTTAAGCCAGCAAAAATGCCAGAACGGCAAGCGATGTCGGAATCCATCCAAGCAACAGGCTAGGTAACGTGGGCGCGTAAAGGAGAGACGGCGGAACTGCCAGCGCAGAACAAGAACCTGGCTTGACCTACAAAGCTCCCTCAGGGAGATAGTGTGGACGATTCCGTCCAACTCAGCACTTACGGCGACCCAGAGCTAACACTTCGAACGCTGTTGCCGCACCGCGAACAGAAACTTAAATATAATTAAACAGCAGCGACGCCTGGCCACTAGGACTACTGCTTCTCCGAAATATATCCGCCCGCCCCATGTCTACCAAGGGCGCGAAGATCGAGTATCGCTCCCGTCCCAGGACATCCAGAATATGTCTGACACCCGAAGGATGGGCGGACGGCGACCATCATTCCAGCTACCCGTCCCGGGTGCCCACCCACCCGTGCCCAAGTTCAGCTTTTTAACTTGACGATCGGGGCCCCCCAGAAACGCAAATCTTGAGGTCCAGCGCCCAACAGCCTCTTGCAATTTTGCCCGTCCGTGGGCGACTGTCATCGTCGGGCTCTGGAGAACAGCTTGCTTATCCGCCACCGTGCAGCGAAGACAAAGTGGAGTTTTCTCGGGTCTCGTCTGGGGAAACAATGAACGGCATTCACATAAACTGTTGAAGCTCCGCGTGGAATTCTTGTCGACGCTGGACCCCCCTCCCTGGCGCGCGGAGCGCAATAGGCGTGGCGCCAGAGGCGCTGCCCAGGAGGCCCAGACGCAGATCCAGAAAATACGTGCGGGGCTCCGAAACTTTCGAAACTTTATGCTCATGCTGCTTTTCTCCTTCGAGCACTCTGTGCTGAATGCCCTACTGTCAAGAACTACTTGGCATAGCGTGTAGCGGCAGCGGCCCGGGCGACACGATGTGCCCTGCGAATGGATAGCGTGTCGCTCCGCTCCACTGGGCGGGAGACTGGGAGCAGCTTGGGACGTTGACGCCTGGGGGGCCGGGAAGCGGATACAGCCAAAACTGATAGTGAAGATGCGCGATAAAGATGCAAGCCCCTTGAACGCCTGTGTTTGAGCTCTTTCCAGCGCGGCGGGCCATCGAAAGCAGTCAAGGATGAACCGAAGAAGGATGCGAGGGGTGCCCTTGTAAAGGTTATCACCGATTTCGACTGTAGCGTGTCGCGCCGAAGCGTGTTGGGCCAGAAGCGGCATCGATCTTCGCAGAGGCACTTGAGAGCCCGCGGGCTCCTGTATGTATATGGGGCCGCCGTGCCGACTCGCCTCCAACGCGCTCAACCTTAATTTGAAACTCCTCCTCCTCCTCCTCCTCCTCCTCCTCCTCCTCCTCCTCCCCCTCCTCCTCCTGCGCTTGTCCAGAGTTCCCGACCATACGCTTCGAGGGAGCCGGGCCTCCAGCGCACGGAAGGCCCGGCCGCTGCTGGGGCGCCTCGCGCGGCTTCTCCCGGAGGCCTCGGGAAGCGGGAGGCGCGGCTCGGGCTCCGCCGAGGTGCTCCAAAGGTGGTCCCGTGGGGCCGTCCTGGGGCTGTCTCGGAGGGCCGTTCTGGGGCCGTCCTGGAGTCCCAAGGCCGCAGCCCCAAAGCCCTCCCGCGCCCGAGGCTCGCTGCTGCCGGGGGGGCCCGCCCGAGTCGGGCGCGGCCGAGGTCCGCGGCCCGCGCGGCCCTGGCCGCGGAGGAGCCGCCGCTGCCCGTGCCGCGCGTGGGCCGAGGCTCCCCCCCGAAGCGCCGCAGGGCCGCCGCGGCCTCGCAGACCCGTTCGAGAGACGGCGTTCGAGGCTGAGCCGTCCCTGCGTCTGGGCGGTGCTCGAGGCTGAGAACGTTCAGACGGTGTCTGGACGGTCGAACACCGCTCAGGCAAGACTGTTCGGTCTTCGAGGCGTCCCAGACGGCCGGCCCAAGGCGGCCCCTAAGACCCGGCCACGAGAATCCCCGAGGTCCGCAAGAGGAGCCAGAGAGGCCCCCAAGAGAGAGGCCCAAGAGAGGGAACTTGACCAGCAATTTGGAGCCCTCCACACCAAGAGGGCCCCCCAAACAGCCAGCAGGCCCCCAGGAGGTCTTGAAAAAGCGCCCAGAGGCCCCAAAGGCCCAGAGGACATCCCCAAGAGGGCCCCATGAAGCGCCCACGATGCCCCACAGAGGCCTCCAAGAAGCACCCAAGAGCCACCCAAGACGCCTGAAGAAGCATCTCAGAGACCACTTGCCCACGAAACAAGGCACGGCCCTCATACGGCCCCAAGACGCGCCGAAATGGCGCACAGACACCCCAAGGAACGTCAAGATGGCCCCAAGAAGTCCACAGAGGGGCCCTAACCCCAAGAGAGCCCCGAAGACAGCCCCACGGCAGCACCAAGTAGTCGGCCACACGCATGTCCACGCCATACCTTTGCGGCCTGGAGAAGAACTCAGCGGAGACATGTCTGAATCAACCTCCTCTCACCTCACTCCCCCTCCTCCTCCGGGTTGTCCGTCTCCTCATCCTCCTCGTCCTCCTCCTGCTCACTGGCTGCAATATTTGCGCGCTAATTTTCCCCTAAAGTTACTCTGTGGCTACCGCTCTTGGGCTCCTGGCGGAATAGCGTGGTAGTCTGCCGCTGATTTGAAGCCGGTCACGACGTTGCAGGGCAAGCGCTCAAAGGAACCAAGCCCGACAGACAGCGCGCGAGAGCGCGATGACCGTGAAAAACCAAAGGTTGCTCGTGTACAGAATCTGGAAGCCAGCACGTGTATCGAAAACGATCTGCGTCCGTCGAATCACTCATAGTGGCATCTCGTGCATGCCTTTGCCTTTAATGCCTCATTGATTGAATTGGCACCCCTGCCAACACACACACACACATGCAATTGGCCCGATCTTGCATCTTGTTCGATCCAATAAATGCTACGACACAAATTTGAATCAACTCATCGAATCAGAACGGCCGATCCACGCACATGTTTAATCAATAAAGGACGCGATGCCGCACTGGTTTTCTGTACACCACGCCCTTAACCGACTGCGCAGGAATGATATCTGCCACTCTGGTGTTCGTCGTCGACGTCCTCCTCCTCGTCCCCCTCCTCCCCCTCCGCTTCGCAGAATGGCGTGAGCCTCTTGAACCAATATGTTCCAATTCCAGCTGCGGGCTGGTCAAAAGTGCTTCGACGATTGCTGGGAGCTGGGTTTCTTGACGGCGGTCGATGAAATCATCGATTCTCGCATAGCGTAGAATTGATGCACGCTCTTGTGCACGAAAGCGCCGCTGTGCCCAGAGGATTTCAGGACTCCCTGGAATATCAATTCAACTGCTAAAAGGCGGTCGTCTCCAATTTCCCTGTCGAAAAGAAGACATTACTGGTTGCCCTTGCCGTTGATCTCCCAGCAGCACAGCTTTCATCAACGCCCGCTTCCTGGCGCGCGCGTATGCGGCACCCCCGCCCTCACTCCTATCAGCTCTCCCTCTGCTTTCCCCCCTATCGAACACGCATGGTCGGCGTAGAAGTGCCAAGGACAGCCACAACAAATCATCAACAAATCAACGCGATTTTGACGCCTTCCGCTCCATTTCTTATTCCTTCTGGCGGCGAAACCGTCTGTGCTCCACATCTTCCGGCTTCTGCAGACATTGCGCTGGCATATGCGAAAAGTGAGTCAAGCCCACACCTCCCTCACTCCCTCACCTCGCTTGCTTGAAACAACTCTTTTCGGAGCTGCCCGTATGCGTCACACTGGGCATGGGCTCGTAGGCTCTGGCCCCTTCCACGCGGCACACAATGCCCCTCCGTAGATCGATGTCAAGACGACGAGACGCGTCAAACGCGCACGCCCGTGAATCAAGAAGACACTTGCGATTCGAGTCCGAACTCAAATGTCTCAGCTTGGAGCCTGATGGGGAGTCGGCGAGGTCTCTCGGGCATCTGGGAGTCCTTCACACACACACACACACCGTCTTGACGGACATGTCGGAGAAAAGGAACCAAGATAATGGGACACAAAAGTTTGCTTTCTGGGGGGGCGGAAGACACGGTCGGTCGGTCGGGATCCCTGTCAAAAAAAAAATACGAGGTGATCGCGGGGCGCCCAGACAAGATCCATACACTGCTGCAGCAATCAATGCTCTCTCTATTTTCCTCTCTCTCTCTCTCTCTCCCTCTTGTCTCTCTTTCTCTATTTCTGTCTCTTTACTGCTGACTTTTCAAACCTCTAAACTTGCTTTGCTCTTGATTCTCAGATGCATATATCTATACACGCACGTTTTTCAGCGCATCTTTTAGGAGAAGAAGGGATAAAGCTGGTGGGAACGAATCCGCAAGCACATATGATCCACTCGCACTGCCACCAAAAACGTGCACCAGAGCCAGGTCAGGGGGCGGAACGAAGAGGAGGACAAGGAGGGGGGAGTGGGCAGCGTGGTTGCCCAAATCGGCTGCCCCGCGCACCATGCGCTTCAAACCTTGGCAGAGGCCAGAAAGCCAAAAGCACCGGCAGCGATTGGAGGGGGAAGTGAACGGCGGAAATGCGGGCGGTTATTTGACGCGCGAATGGCTGCATTGCGCACCCCCGCGAACCAGCACGAAAAATAGCAGGAGGCGGCGAAGACGAGGAAAAGAAGAGGACAAACTGACAAACCGAATGCCCACACGTCCAGTGTGGAAATCGCGAGCCGGCAGCCGCTGGCGAGCCAATACCAGGTCAGCGCGGCACGATCGAAGCTGAAAACAAGTATATATGAAAATGCCGCGCTCAACATCCGAGGGCCTAAACTAGGACTCGCACCTGCGTGCAAGCCTAGCTTCGAGAAGAAGGCCCGCCCTGCAATCCCTCTATTTACATGGCCCATCCCGATGGTGCAGACGACACCGCTCACCAAAACTATAGGCGAAAGATTGGCATCGTTTTTACCCCAAGGCTTACCAGAGGCAAGGTCGATTCTGCGAGTGTACAGGCGAGCAGACTGGACATCAGTTCTCTCTGCCGGCAGAGCTGCGCACTACAGGATACTCGAGACAAGCCTGACCTTAGAACAATCTGACTGATGGCCCAACCCGCAGTAGGGGGGGGCAAGGGCGGGTGAGCCGCTAAAAGGCAGCGGAACGGACGAGCGTCGCTGCGGGCGGTGAACTACACTGCAGGGGTCCAAGCAAGGTCAGAGACAAATCATGGCCCATCCCGATGGTGCAGACGACACCGCTCACCAGAACTATAAGCGAAAGATTGGCATCGTCTTTGCTCCAAGGCTTACCAGAGGCAAGGTCTATTCTGCGAGTGTACAGGCGAGCGGACTGCCTGAAGGAATTGACCTGTTATAAGAGTTATCAATAGTTATAAGTAGGTTATAAGTATGTTGTAAGTAGGTTATAACAGGTTATAACATGTTATAATGTGTTGGCGCACTTATAAGTTTGCTAAGTCGGAGCCCTGAGTTAGCCCGAGTTATAAAAGCTAGTAACTCCGCTAACTTTTCAACATGGTTCTCACCATATCGACATAATCATATATTTTGCAGGGTGTACTCTTCAAAAAAAAAAGAATTTGATAATATTTTTGCAAGTGTTGCACTCATCATTGCGACTTCTCGCATATCATATCTACGCTGATCACAATTGCAATCGATGCAAATCCGCAGGTAGTGTTGCAACAATTGAGTTGCATGTTGTTTTTTGGGCATGCCATGTTGAGTCCGTTGTCATTTGGGCTCCAGGGCATTTCGCGCGCATCATTGTGTGCTCACGATTTGCAAGTTGCGTCTTGCATCCATCTGAGACATGCAGCCGCATGGAGCGGATGCTAAGATTCTCAAATGCAAGGACGCAATGGACATTATTGAGAGGAAGTTCGACTCGCCTAAAGCAGAGGTGGTGGATTTGTACGAACAGGTCAAGGCGATAGCTCGCCAACATGGCATGCTACTGACAGAGAAAATCAACAGTAAGTATAGGTACGTGAGCCCATGCAACAGATATGGCGACGGCGTCGTGCCGTGTGACGTCACTGACTTGATCATTAAAATATTGGGAAATGGGTTCAGGCACGAGCATCTGTTGATGCCTACGTGTGCCGAGGTGCCCCCAGTGGGCACTGCTGAGTACCTCAAGATCAAAGGGTTTAACGACAAGATAATGGCCGATAGCGCAGGACAGCTGCCGTTCTACGATGATGGTGACGGTAAATGTCAGAGTTATACATGCGGTCATACATCGCAAGGTTTGCGATGCATCATACATGGCACGAACGTGCCCGAGACCAACCCAGAGCGGTTCAGCGACATAAGCCAAGACGGGAAGATATCGTTGCAACGCCTCCAGCAATTCCAACCAACTTATGCTGATGCGGCTGTAAACGGTATCACATGGGACATCTTCAAATGGCAGTTTATCGAGGCGTTTCCTTTCGTTCCAGACCTTGTGCAAGAAGCGGGCAACGCAGGGCAGGCCGCTGCCAAGTGCGAGAGCAGGCTGGAAATCATGCTCAAGATTGCGCAGTACGCGAAGAGCCTGAAGCAGAATTTAGAGCTGAATCCGAATGAGACGTTCCCATGGGATAAGGTCAGGCGCCAGGCGGGCAGGGGCGCAGTCTTCAAGCATGAGATAGACCACATGGTGGACTATGTGAAGGAAATGTCAGGCGGACTGGACAATCCAGTGTTTCTTCACGAGCTAAGGGGCTTCAACAGGCACCTGGCCAGAGCGACGATAGTAAAGTCAGATGTCGCGGCAGCCGTCGCGACTTGCAAGATCGCGAAGGAGGGGTCGGGGGTGCTATTCAAGCTCGCGTGCATCAAGGCTATGCATGGCCCGAGCGACAAGTATAGGAAGGGCGACGAACAGACGCTACTAAAGCTCTCGGACGTCAATGTGTTGCAGAACGAACGCAAGGCGCAGATCGCGTTACAGGGCGATGAGTTGCTGCAGAAGATTCGCAAGCTTGCGATTGACTTCGAAATCGATCCATCGAGCGCTCGCTGATCCAACATAGTCGGGCTCGCCGATGTTCGAGTTGCCCACTTCGTCTTCAACAAGCCCGACGAGAGCCGCGGGGTATACAAACAGATCACCGACATCGCAGTTGACGCTTGGAAAGCTATGGCTGCCAGCACTGGCAATAACAACGTTCGCTGCCCATGGAAGGCCAAGGCCGTCGCGCATGCACCACAGTGTGCTAGCAGCGTCTCCTCGACAGGTGTCAAGACCTTTGACCAGCGTGGCGAGTGGGTGAACGTGTCCGAAACGTTGGCTGTCAAAGGTTTCAAGGTGGGCGTGACGGTGTACAACCGCCAGGAGGGCGATGAGTCTGTGTATGAGATCAAGTCGATTGATGGGCAGAATGTGAAGATGCAGACGGGAGGCGTAGAGCGCACCATAGATGCCGAGGACTTCATGCGAAACAAGTTCGCAATATACGACATCAAGAAAGAGGTAATCGACCAGTTCGACCAGTTCAGCCCATTGAATTGCATGGACTACCACTGGGGGGTCGAGGAAGCTCGGATCAAGATTGCACTCGACGAAGTCTATTCACAACATAGTGCTTGCCTCAAGCATATCACGGCGATTCATTCGCCAATCAAATATAAAGCGGTGTCAGTGAAGAAGGAGTTCAAGAAGGACGCCATCGGACTTGTTCCGTTGACGACAACCATATCGCTCAAGAAGGCGACGGATGAGATCAATATTGGCAACGTTTGCCTTAGGAAGTATACCGACCCTGCCAAGCATACCGATTACAACGTCGCGTTGGTGGCCGTTGGCGGGCTCAGGCTCAAGCGTGAAGAGGGTGGGACTGGCATTGGTGGTCTGAAGCGCGTGCCAGATCAGTACGGGGTGCCTTTCTGGTTGGTCGGCGTGTGTACCGCGAAGGAGAAGCCAAACTTGGCTGTGACATTTGTGACCGCCACGAACGGCATTAAGGTTCCCATCCTCAAAAACACGGTCGAGCTCAAGAGCGGCGACAGGTTGCGCATGTCCGAGGACACAGCAAAGGCGCTTGCAAGGAAAGTTGCATTGTCCGACGCCACGCCCGCCAAGCCCGCCAAGAAAAAAGCAAAGACGCAGTGAGCCGCCCATTCGCCGCATTGCCGCGGCATTACGCAGGGCGTTGGCGTCGCCCTCCGTATATGAACGCACCTTGTTGGATGGCGAAGACATACTGAAATGCTTCATCCTGCGATGCGTCATCACACCATCGCATCGCATCATTCTGCGATGCAGCATCGCGCCAGTCTGCGACATCGTCGCAACGCACCATAGCCGTTCTGGCTCAATCGCTGGGGTATCACGCGGCCCACGCTGCCCCGCACGTCTGCATGTCAGTGTCTGTTTCCATGCGCACGGTGATCGAGGGCGGCGGGCTCAAGGAGCCGTGGATACCGCGGACTATTGTCCATAGCGGAGGTATTGCGTTCATCGAGGTA